GCCACTGGAATTGTTGCCAACTGTTTTGTACATATTCCCAAATTCCCAAAATAATACCAATTTTTAATCACTGAGACCATCATTCCAATCAGGGGCAGAGACTAATGCAGTGATATAGACATTATCAAGCGCCACCTTCCAACCCGCAAAACCTTCATGAACAGCAACAGCATCACTGCCAGCAACTGACCATGTCTCTCTGTTATCAACTTTTTGTCCACATTTTTTCTTGCACAAATGACCAGCTTCCCATTATATTCTGACAAAATGAAACCCAGTCTAAAGAAATAAAGATTATTAAATGCATGAACTATCAATGTAGGTTACCGAATACCAAAGGAATAATTCTAAAATGACCCAAAATATTTAAATCGCTTCACAGGATACAGACAGCTTACATGCACTACCAGTAAAATATGATGTAAACTAGTATCTTTAGAGACATCAAAAATAGAAAGGATCAAAGGATCAACAAGATGTGTGTGCAGGTGAAAGAGAATGAAAAGCTGAGATGGGCAGAGCTTGAGAAATTGGAGATTCCAACTCACTCTCGCCCATTTTCACCTCCCATTATCTGATTAGCCTCCCATTTCTTCCCCATCAGTGCAGTGACCTGGATTTCAGTAGGATAGTGATGGTCAGCCAGGGCGGGGTCTGGTGAGAGGGGGCAAACCATTTGGGGGTGGTGGAACCATAAATCAGCACCAGCGGGAGAGAAGAGTGAGGGGGATTTATATAGATGTTGTGCTTGGCCAGCCCACTTGTGGACACCGTGATGAATTCACAAGCACATTGCCAAGGCAAACTACTTCATTATACTATGGCCCAGTGGTCATTAATCTCCCTAGGAGGCCAGCATCCTGGGGGATCGCCAGACCAGAGAATTTATTCAGGCCTGGAGGTACCCATTTCATTAGCCATTCAATCTGTTCAACCACCAACCCCTCCCCTTCATTCCCGTATCTGTCTCTACTTTCCATCACTGTAGTTAATAATATTTAAGTGGTTGTTCTTACAGAGTTTTATCTTTATTATTATGAAAAATGCTCATTTTCCCAATATTTACCAAAATTCTCATTGTATTAGCAGCTTTCAATTGTCTGGAGGGGGTTGGGCGGGTCAATAAGCATTGGCATCGGTTAATTGTATGGCATGTTTATCACTGTACAAAACTGTGTTTCTTCCATTTGTTCTGCGATTACTGCAGCGAGCAAAGAAAAAAAGGAAAAAGTTGCATTTCTGTTGCTGCTGTTACACCAGTGCTGCAAATAGAGGTGTAAACCCTCCAGTAAATGTCACGATTAGGTACGGCAGGATGGAAACAGAGAATAGATTCCCAGAGGTAAACTCTCAACTGCTTACTTCAGTCCTGTAACCTAATGGTGTCATTACTGGAGGGCAAGTGCTACTGGCCCAACGTGCATGGAGGGCCACCATGCAATGATTACTTATTTATGTTGGGAATCCTTATTCCACAAATACATAGCGAAAACAAATATGATGTCCCCTCTGTCAATTACAGTGATCAAGCATATGTGCCTGGATGAAGACACACAGCACACATGCTTAAAGATCAATCGGAGCGCACTGTGACAGTGCATGTGTAACTGCCAACTGGTTACAGTCTATCAAATTATTATCATTGTTGTTGTTATTATTTATGTTTAATAGACATATACAGTCTCAGGAAACCTACACTGTTCATAGATCACAGGGAATTCCTTCCATGTTGTGAGTTCTGTAATATCACCATGTCAGCCCTGAACACTCCTATGATCTGACCTTGCGTCTGAAATGGAGGGAAGTCTTCATTTTCCATCTCCCGATGTTTCTATGTTTCTCTCTCCCTGAAGGGTTTAACCATATATACGTGGAATAATTTCATCAACCATGCTACGTCCCGACGGACCCTTTCCACTTTAAACACTTAACGGGCTAAATAAATAATGATGGCTTACACACTGTGTGTGTGTGTTAACGTTAACGGCACCAGCCACTAGCCCCGGGTCCCACAGCAGCAGGAGTCCTTTAAGCGAATAATTTGCTTCCGTTCAGGCCGCCACACTGTAGCCATTCGCCAAGCAGATTATGGGCCTTTAAGTAGCAGCCAGGCCTGAAATGTGACTCTAGGGCCCACAAGCTGTCAGAGAGGAGGCAAGACTCCTTGGAGAGAAACTGTAGGATAGGGACAGAGAGCGATGGAGACTGACAGTTAGGGAAAAAGATAAATCTATAAATATGAATGCAAGAGAAAGACTGAAGGGGAGTTGATGTGGTGTGAAATAAAACAAAAGAGCAATCTCATTATCTAGTGTGTTTGATGAAGCAGGCAACTGTTCAAAATAATAAAAGGCTGAATCTGCTGATAATGAAGAAAAAACAGCCTCAATGTCACTTGCGAAGTGACGGTGATTGTTTCAAACACATGTTTTATGTCATACTTTTTTTGGCAACTCTGATCAGAATCTGCTGTGGAGGAATGACAGAGAATGGGGTTTTGATAACCAAGATTAAAAGTTAAGAGTTTTTGAATTTGACCAAACTACAGTCAGCATCTGTTTCCAGCACAATGGTCCATGGGATCTCCTTCGTCATTCCATTCGTTATGCGGCAATGATAACATACAGACTGTTACGAACTTAAAGTTGAGACAATGTATCTCTATACACACACTTGAGACAAAGTGTGTACTGATTACCACTGAATATTTGTGACAATAAATTTTAAGTATGTCACTGGAAAAATTTGGTATACATAGGTAGTGTCAATATGAAATGGGTGCCTAAAAGTCCAAATTAAGAATTGCCTATCACCTGACATCAAAAATGTCACGCATTCTCCAAACATCTCCATAATTTCAAAGTATTTTTAAAGACACACTATAGAAAGAAAACATAATTTCGCAGAACCAGTCTATTAAGACAGCAGTTTCTATCCTGCTAAGGCGAGGGGCTTACAGTTACAATAACCCAATTAAGATATCAGATTTTAATTCAAACCGTTCAAAAAATCAATTGAATCTTTCCGTAAACCCTTTCCTCTGGTTTTCTTTGTAATCTCAGCACGTTTTGATTTAACTGCACATTTCACTCCAAACCCCGAGCTCCAGTAAAACCCTGGAGAAAGCTAGACACCATCAGTTGATCTATCGTGCCATCTCCACGCTGAGGAGAGGACTGAAACATCAAATCCACCACCCTCGAAATGACATCTGAACATCAATACATGGTCCCCGCCCCTCCGATGTGACAGTAAAAGCCGTATTGATTTCCGCCCGGATTAAGGATTCTGCTGGGAGCAATTTAAACATACAAGCTGAAGTCTCCGGGCCAGTGGTGAGTGATGTCTTTCACCATGTATAATCAAATTGAAGGCCTGCGTTTTGGAGGAGTGGTTGTCCAGATCAGTAAAATTTAAAGAGATGGAATAAGATACCTAAACCAAAAAGAGAACCGATAAGAGTGGATAAATAGATTACGAAGACTAAAAACAAACAAAGCAAACTCCAGTGGCTCCCTTTTTCTCCCTGTTCAGTATCTACAGTCTGCTGAGGTCTTCCTAATGCTAAAGCTAGCAAGCTTGGTTCAAACACCTGGCACTGTAGCCAGCAATTAGCTGAGTTTTATTGGTGAGGCACCATTGTAAATAGCTCCATTAATAGCAGTGGATGTAAATTTTAAAACAGGGGGATGTTTTATGACGAATAAATTTGCGACCTACTGTTGCTGTCACTGCCACTTTTCACTCCTCCCACGCAAATGCCAAATGTCGCACATGCGCTGAAGTGTTACCCCAACAGGAACCTTTGACTGCAGGGCCTAAACTCAATGGAAGAAAGCATTAGTCCTCGGCGTAATTTTTCCCATTATTTCAGTAACAACAACAACATAAACAACAAAAGATAGAAAAACTCAGGTTGCATAATTGCCCAATTGGTGAATAACTATAGTGAATAAAGTTCAGCATTTTTATGGTATGCTAGGATTACCTATCATTATCATGGTGGTTTCTCAACAAATGATAAGCTGAAGCTGAATTTCTGCTGTAAAATAGCGAACAAACATTTGGTTTTAGTCCTGCAGGCATTTACAAATGAAGGGATTTCACTGGGAAACTTATAACATTTCAAGATATGTGTTTTTATATTCATATTCATATCCATATGTCTTTTATGTTTTAAGAAGATTTGAAGCAATTCCAAAAGGTTATAAATCACATAGTGGCAGCTCATATCAGTGAAAAGTTTTTTTTTACATACTCATACATTATACTCCAATCAGCATGTCTCTTTCTGCCTTTGAGGTTATTACAAGCAACTTTACCATCATTCATGACCCTGTTATTTACACAAGCAAGACAGATGCACAGAGGCACCTGCAGATGTGAAGCAAATACTTGCGCACGTACACATCCATTCACTTCATCCAGATTTTCCTTCCCCCAGCTGCGCAGCAGTGCTGAGGCCATGTATCCTGATGGCACTGATGGTGCTTCATGCTGCCCTCAGGTCTCTGAAGGTTAACTCCCTGACCTCTGCGGTCTCCTGGTTGAGGGTTGCTGTGATAGATAGGCCTGCTCAGAGATAGAAATAATGTCCTATGTAGCGCAACAACAAAAAAACTATATTTTAACCAGTGTTTTATAGCTAGTAATAGATAGAAGTCAGTATATTTTAACAAAGCAGTTTAAGGCATCATCCTGCGAGGGGTGTTTTGTATGCTTGGCCTCCAGTGAACTCTATTTAATTCTTTACGGCCTGTATTGTCATACCTTGTGCCTTCTAGACAATTTTTAACAATACACCACCAGGTGAAACTACCTGGTTGGGGAGAAGAAAAGCCAAGCAAACTGTTGTTTTCCTCTGCAGTAAGAGTCACAAAGCAAAGAAAGGGGAAACATAGAATTTAAAAAAGGAGAAAAAAACAGGTGAAACAGTGCAAGGAAGTCAATGAATAACAATGTTTGGGGCCAAAAATAAATTACATGACGCTCAGTGTTGCAGAACAATCAAAGCTTAGGCGAGTTCTGAACATGCATGCACTTGAACTTGGCTAAATGTTGCTCTTGAACTACTGATAGGCACTGGGAAAAACAAGCCATTAAAGCCAGTTCAGGTAAACAAAATAGGACTCCAGCGGGAACAAGCAACATTGAAAGAGCTGGGGGGTGGGGGAGAGTCTTTGAAGTGGCTCAGAGTATTCCCCTGACACTTCTGAGATATTTATTTGAATAATGTGCAGATTCACACCCGAATGAGCAGAGATCTGTACAGTGGGTGGGAAGATGACAAGGTTTAATTTTCAACTCTACTGAGGAGTAGTGAGAGCGAAGTAGGAAGAGAGAGGAAAGAGCAGCAGGGGAATTAAAAAGAGAGACGGAGGGGGAGCAAAATACAGAGCTAGATATGAGTTGAGGAAGGTTGATGGAGGTATATCAGATTCCCTAAAAACATTTTGACATTTTAAACCTAAGGCAGTTTGCAGGCAGTAAATAAAGGGAAGGGAATCAATAGCAGTCAGTGATAAGGGGATAAAGCAGCTAAATATGAAATACTGCCTAACAAAATGGTATGGATTTCCAATGGGGCCATGTGACACAAGCTGCTTTGAAATGCAAATAGTAACTTATGCACATTGTCCTTCTCAGGCCTTGCAACCTATTGATCGGCTAAAACAAATTCTATTGATCATTGAATATTTAATGGCGATAATTAAATCTCTCATGGAGGTACTTACACCCCATTTCCAGTTTTCATCTTCTTACTCAGGAGACCTGCCTTTGACTCACTAACGCTCTCAGGCTCTGTAAAGAACCACATGCAGCTAATTGCAATAAAACTGGGTATTGAGTTCATGTTGAGAATATTGTGTAGGTTGTTTCCTGTCAATCTGCATGTCCCAACAGGAGGAGAGCATTTCTCCTAAAAGTTTAAGGTGAAAATCACTTTGTAAAATTCTAAAGGATCTGGATAAGCAAATGTAGAACAATGTTCTTCTTGGTTGCAACATTTCAGTCAGTTAATGTACTAAGAATTATACACAATATGTAGTAAATTTAGGCAACAAAAGATAGAAAAACATATGCCTCCACAAAGATACAGAATAAAGGGTTTAGAAAGTGTTTGCAAAATGGAGTGCTTCTTCTTTTTGGGGCAGGTGAAGTAGATTTGGTGTAGATGTCATTCTAGTTTCACTGTGAGTTTGATACACTGTGGTGTCCTTCGCTGCCTTTATGAAGCTTCTTATATAGAGTTTTTTTTTTTCATGCCACTATGATGTGAATAACTAGAGTTTATACCGTAGTTAGACAAAGCTGTGTCTGTTCTGAATTTTGATGTTTAATTGTTATGATGTGGTGTTTCTTTCTTTTCAATTACTTGAGTTAGCGTTTGTTTAGTAGATAAAAATGCCATTCGAATGCTGCTTCAGAGTATTCAACTACTCTTTTGGAGAAAAAAGTTTACATAATGTCACAGCTTTTTTTAATTTGCCTGCATGGCTATAAAGTATCAAACCGAAATTTATCAGAAATATTTCTTCTTAATCTTGGGTGTTGTAAGTTTTATTGATCTTTGTCCAAATATTTCCAAAAATAGGACAGATTTTAAGTGTGGCCTCAAACTTTAGACAACTCTGCATTTTTGTATGTTACTATTTCTTACAGTTCTGTTTTATCTTGTTTATTTAACTCCTTCAGTAAATACTAGTTCTACTGTATAAAAAGAGCTAATTTGTAATTTGGCCAAAGTCCTGCTCTGATTTTCTTGTGGTATACCTAACTTCCCCCATTTATTCAGTGCAAGTATGCCTTCTGTACAAAAATGTACTGCGCTTAGAAAACAGACGTTCTTCTGGTATGCATTGTGTTTTTCCAATAATAACAGGAAATGATACAAAACTATCTCTAAAACCACAATACATCATTTTGTTTTAATGTCTCTCGGCTGTTGAATAAACAAAGTGCAATGTAAAATAATCCTGCTTTATAAAAATTCACTCTATTATGTACTTGTTATACAAGAATGAAATTCAGGTATCAGCGGTATAGGAGTATGTTAACCATCTGTGGCTTTTATATTACAAAGGACAAAGTTTAATACCCATGATGGCAAGTTGTTGCTCAAGCTCTCAGGCGCGTTGTCTCTCTGCTTTTCAGGAGCCACAAACTGTCCTCATACTGTTAGGGCACAAAAAAAATGCGAGAGAGAAAAAGTCTCCTTAATTGAGTGACATAATTTATTACATTAAAAGACTGGCAAACAGGAAAAGGTTGCTGTCAGGATAACATTAGAGGGCAGCTCTCATTGCATGGGCCAGTGTTAAACAAAGTGCCAATCAATAGCCCTTTTATTAGTGACCACAATCAATGTACCACTGACTCGGTGAGCCAATTAACGTTATCGATCACAGACGAAAGAGAAGAAGTGAAGGGGACGAGGGCAAAGTATTGAGATAGCAAAGAAAATACAGGGGACGATAGGAGAGGACGAGCTGCAGTGCTTTCCTCAGGTCTTGTTTTCCTTCTCATCTGTAGGGAGGAGGAGGGGGAGGTTGGCTGTGGAGTGAGAAGACCAGATTCCCACCAAGTGAGAGGCCCCAGGGATCTGCAGCTGAAGACACCCTGACAGAAAGCAGAGGCCCACATATCTCCCAGGAGGAAGTGAGTATGTGTGTGTGTCTGTGTAGTAGTGGCAAGGAGTGGAGTTCAGGGGAAGCTGCTGCCCACCCTATACACCCACACTCTCGTGCACATCATTTACTAGCACGGGAGGTGAGCTGTACTGGGAAAGCAGCACTACTTGTCTTCTCACCGTTGGTTCTGAATAGTAATGAGGTCACAGCACTCTAAGGTCTCTGTGCATGCTCAGCTCCAACTTCCACTCCAAGTGGGTGACCAGTGTGCATGTGTGGGCCTGTATGTGTGTGACCGGCTTGGGGATGTACATTACATAATTTCCTAAGGTCTCTGTATGACACAAAAACTGCACGCGACATTAACAGTCAGGGATGCTGAATTTGTCTAAACTGCCCACTCTTTACGAGGAACACTTTGGAACACGTTTACTCATGCAACAATATTTTTTTGTTTTTCTGATTACTTATGGATTCAGTCATCTTTACTCTATGTTATTCTCATAATTTGTGCAACAATAAGTTCACACCCTCACAATAGCGCTGCTGATATTCAAGTACCCCCTGTATTTTCATTTGGTGTCCTGTTCCCAAAGAGAAAGGGGTCAGGAGGACATCTGCTTCATGTCAGCTGGCAGTATAGTACTTGTCTCAGGGGTTATCGGGCTCCCTCTATCAGGCTGTGGTTGGAACATGGACCTCTCCTTCCTGAAGGAAACCCTCCGAACCAGCGTGTCGACAGCTTGAGAAGGTGCGACAGAGAAAGAAAAGAGGAAAGTCTGGATGGGGCTGGAAGGAAGACGACAGAGGCAAGGATGAGTAGGAGAGAAATACAGCAAATTACTGTGTTTTTTTTAGATACGGTAGGACCAACACCCTGTATTGTATTGTAGTTTACCCTACTAAATTTTTCCATGTTACTTTGCTGATATTATTAAAAGGAAAGCCCAACAGAATATTTAAAATTATATTTTAGATGCTGAAGAAAACTCTCCATTTTAATTGTTGGTTTCAATGTATAAATAGAAAATGTGCACAATTAGTGATATTATTTATCACCATATCTATTTATTTTTATATAATTATCTGATGAGCATTTGTGGAAGTCCCTCCATAATGATAAAAGTTCCACATGTTGTCTATTTATCTGTAAGTCTGATCTTGTCAACTCACAGGACAAAATCCACGAAAGTTTAATATCAAGCTTCCAAAAATACTGGAAAATAATAAGGGAAAAATACACATAATCTCATATATCTTACAACAGAAGCAGACATTACTCTTGCATTCACAAATGGTGAGTTAAGGAGTTGTTAATAATTAAATGGCATATTATTTATTGTCCTTGCCATTATCCTTTAAAGACCCATTAAACTTCAAAACTACTTCAGAACAAACATAACAAACTTAATATTGTTCTCACTGATGCTGTTCTGTCTTATTTGTATTACTCTTTGTATTCGTCTAGTGATGAGTACAATAACTGAAAGGCAGTACTTTAGCCTTTTGAGGACTCATTGATAGTCTATATGTCTACCATCAACTGGATTACATTAGTGCTGACAAAGATGGGGATAAAGGTAAGCAGAGAGAGAGACCAAGTATACTGTACTCCGTATATCCCCTCTTTGTGAGTCAAGGTTTGCACTTCATCTGGACTGCTGTAGTGCCCCTGTGTGTATGCTACTTTAAAACTAAGTACAGAGACACGATAGTGGAAGAGAGAATGAGAATGTCATATACAGTATAACAGTGGTTGCCACACCGCCTACCAAGATTGCACTTAGACAAGATAGTTGAAGTAAAGTCAAGGACTTAAAGGTCCAATAAGAAAAAAGAAGACAAAAGTAAGAGTGATTGAGAGAAAGAAGGAGAATGGGAAAAAAAGGCAATGCAGACAAGCTGCAGTATGTGAAAATACCGTTAGTGATGTGAAAGCTTCAGATGAAGTGGAGCGAAGTGAGCCCCAAAGCCAGGGCTAAGTGAGCAGATTAGAGAGACCGCACAGTGGTATCACTCTTCCACTGCATTTTCTGTCCCACTGGCAAAGGTCAAGCACGTACTACAGCCACACAGTGTACATACTGCAGGTATGTACACACAGTCACTACAGACAAAAAAGTGTTAATGAAAATAACATCACCAATTTGAGCCAATAAAAAGGCTCATGCTTGACACACAAATGGCAATGTGGCATATTGTAAAGTGGGTAGTTTCAATGACCCCTTTAACATTCTCAGCTCACATGGCTGCTTCTGCAAAACCAGGTATAAAATCTGTGCTGTTATCAGCCCCAGTGCGTTTGCATTTTACAAACCAGAGTAAAGGTATAGTTGTAATGCCATTCTTATTATCTCATTATGAGGAAACAGATTATTATGAGAAACCAATTACAATAGCATAAGAATTTAAAGGTTTCAATGCAAAATGTGTGTTGGCCGGCTTCTGACAAAATACTTGTAACTTGCCCAAGTTAAGCCCTGATGATAGACATTGCCCTGTGTTTCAACCAAAGGATTCATTTCTTTAAAATGTGTATAATACTGTGTAGTTGAAAATTATTTTTGATACATAAGACAATGTTAGATATTATTTTTTTCATTCAGTACATCCACGGTGTTAACAGAACAATTTTTGTTTCACCACCACATGATTGAAAAGTGCTAAAGAACCCAGCTGACCCCCAGCTTGACAACCCTGGCTCAAGTTCCTTTTTCTTCAGTTTTATAGCTTCTATGCCTTGTTCTGGTGACAGTATGATCAAGTGCAAGAGGTTTCGTTACTTTTGTAATGTGTGAACTTTATATTGAAAATAATAATGACAAAATAATATTGCAAATTATTTATTCTCACTTTTGCTGCTGCTAGGTAAAGCTGTTGCTCTAGTTTGTCACTGATGTACACTTCAATCTCTCTGTGTTCTTTCCCCTATTTAGCCTAGAGGTAGCACTGTATATTTACTCTCAACACCTTGGGGTGACATTACTGTGCTTGCTGCTGCTGCTGCTTGGAATTTAAGCTGCGCTCCTTACCAAAGAGCTGTGTTACAGCCCCCTTAGACACAACCGGAGCCGATTTGTTTTCCCACAAGCAATGTAAACACAACACTTGTTGAAGGACCCTCATTCACCATATATTTAAAAGGAATACCTTGTCGCCCCACCTTTGCCTCCTGCACCACTTTCTTTTCCATATTTTACTCCTTATCGTCCTCAGAATAAATAGCCTTGAAATAAGTAGAAGGCATGTCTACAATGTGGACATCCCAACTTCAAAATGTAAAACATCTTGAACTGAGCAGGGTAAGAGGATATAAAAAGGAGTATAAAAAGGAGCCAAGTTATATTTCAAGGATACTGGCTCCTGCTAAGACATGTTCAAGTTCATCCAGGAAATGGGGGTCTGTGGAGATCAGATCCAATCTTCTTGCTTTCTCCAAAGTAAGCTTGACAATCAGCAAATCAGAAATTAGCCTCAACATCTTAAAATAGAAACATGAGTAGCTGTTTTTCCCCCTTGTTTGCTGTAATCTGATGACGCATTTGCAATGAGGCCAAGGTCAGGGTGGATTCAGCAACCATGTACAAACTATTTTACTTGACCAGCAAAAAGGCTAATCAAAGGTATATGATTTCATCTTCTCCACAGTTAAAAGACTCGTTTCATGTTGGCAAGCATGTAACATCTGCTTTAAGTTGAATGGAGTCAGGCTGGGGGTGCCCCATTCTTTTTCCTTTCTTCTGCTCACAGAGCTTAAATTGGGACAGAAAACAAATCGGAATAACCACACGAGAATGCAAATCCAACTGATGAGGCTGAAACTGTAGGAAGCAAAAAGCATAACATCATACTGGATGATACTGGATTTTGGTTGTGTGAACTTGTGTTTTCCACTAAATATAAACAGGATTTGATTTTCTCTGCTTTCTTATAACCTTAAGATTGAAACATGGAATATTTTGTGTAACTTTCAGATGCAATAAATTCACCAAGGAAAAAAAACCATCCTCAGTTATGGGTAGAACTTCTTATATTGTTCTTGTAGAAGTTTTTGTATTTATACTGCATCACACTGGGAGTTTCTGAAACACTGTTTGTCAAGACCACATTCAAAAGATTTCAGATTTCTGTCCACAAATGCAATAATACACATCATTAGCTCTGCGGCCTGACACACTGTGGCTGAAGACAAAGACAAATGCTACAGGAAAAAAATTTTTTTTAGCTGCATCTGGATTTAGTTGGGAGTCAACCACTGACTAAGCAGCGATTTAAGAAGAGAGGGCTCAAACAACTGAACTTTCATTGGTAAAACTGTGATTTCCACCTTAGCTCTTGTTGTGACTTGGGCATCCATGCAACCCACACAAAAATCAATCTGGTACCAGTTAGTGCTGACTTGAAACACTTACCTGGGCATGAAATCAATCAGGCAGATTTTCATATACCTCTAGCAAAAGCAAAGGCTACTTGATTATGGTAACCAGCTGATTACTATGTGTCTTTGGCAAGCGGGGCAATCAAAACACACACACGCGAGCACACACACGCGCGCGCACACACATATATCAATCAGTGTTTATCTGTACACTGTAATACAAGACTAATTCACCTCACTACACAGCTTTGCTCTTTGGCTTTAACCCTTCTGTTGGTGTTTCATTGACCTATGGGAGTAAAATCAAAGAGGAGGCTTATAGGAAGAGAGACATTTCCCTGCATTCCACTGGGCTTCTGAACTTCCAGCTGAACTACGAGCATGTGTTAAATGCAACACTGATGTTATCAAAATTGACACTGCTATGTTACGAGAGAAAAGAGAGCAGCTCAGCATTCTCCATCACCATACACCCACGTTTTATGCACGCACAGCCACTGAAAAGTTCACAGCCCTAACTCGCTGCCAGGAACAGAAAAGAAAAATCCAAAACAATCTTTATTTATTTTTTTTATTCTTAAAGAAGAGCAAATCTAACTGTCAGCTCAGTGAGGATTATTTCACCATGGCTGGCTCCCCAACTTCCCCTCCCGTAATCCACCCAAAAAACTCTTGGTGAAGCCTTTCAAAACAATTTATGCAAACAAACATCGAGCTCAGCTATTTGTATTGGCACCATTTTGCAGTAAACCAGACTGAACCAGGACCAGATGGGGCTGGGCCTTTTTAGTCTCCATGTGGTGCAACACTAGCTCAGCAGACACACTCAACGAAGAGCTCTGTCTTTGTACTGAGGAGTGTTTCAATATTTATACCACGTTTCATCACTTCCCCCACTTCTAGGTCTGTATATGTATATATGTGATGGATTACAGCACGGACAGATAAAACCATAATGAATATATTGCAGCCATTTTGCTATTGTATCGTAATATTTTTTTCACAAATTTTAATTGTTTACATTGAATGCATCCTAACCCAGACCATCATTTATATGTGTTTGGCTACTTCAACAAGAAGATAATACAATAATGTTGAAATCAATTTGGACAAGATTCCCTGCTGAGGATGTATGGCCATACATGAGAGAAAAGATGCCAACACATAGCATGACTGGTCCAGCGCTGACAGCAGTGGCTGTACTGCGGCCGGTAATTGGACTGACAGTAATAGGAACTGTCTTTCAGTCTCCGTGGGCCCTAGCAATAGGCCACAATGCTGCTGTGGATTTAGCAGCTGCAGTCAGATGGAAACCATGTAACAGCAGTTTACCCTGTCTTCCCTTTTCTTCCTACATTTGAACGCTGATATGATCATTTATGAGTTGAGTGAATTTCATGGCCCTTGGGCCCTTGATTCCTGGTCACACGCCAACATGCGATTTTAAAAATACACAATTGTCAATGAGAAAATGAGCCCTCCATTCATCATTCCTGAAGAGTTTCTTTTTCTTTCCTTTTCTTCTTTTTTTGAAGATACATGTATTTACCCGGCAGCAGCACTTTGCTGCTGCTGGCCCTCTGCCTTGAGGGAAGGTTCGGTTAGAAGTCAGCACCCATCTCAGCAAAGACCACACATACACGCACATGGGCATGATAGCAAGGTGTTAGCATAGAAATACTCCATATTATCAGTGGCTGAAGTGACATTTGTGATCATGACTATTTTCAAATTTCAAAGTTAATACACAAGAAAGCACAGATGTCGTATTGTTGCCATAGCATGCAGCAACATGGATACACAACACTTGCGAACAAGAGTTCACATGGACAAAAAGCCTAAGGCCTCCACATAAAAGCTGACACGAGGAAACATACACCATATGACTGACCTACAGCCTGCTTGTATACTCAAACATAGACCTCCTGATACCACGTGGAGAAAATAGATACAAATATTTCCCACTCTGTCCTTCTCTCTCCCTCGCTCTCTGCCTATCTCTCTCTCTCTCTCTCTTGCACACGTCTACACTCACACAAACTGTGTAACAAGGCTCTCTCTCCATAAGCAGTTATTTCCCAGAGTTACTGCCAGGACTCCCTCTCTCACTCAGTGACAAGCGACAAATCCCTGACACCACCACTGATGATAGCTTTACAGTAGAGCCTCAAGGGGACTCTGCCAGCCAGCACACACAAACAACACACATGCCTGCATATCCACACACTCCTTCTCTCTCACTCACTCACATATTGCATCCCGTGAGCCTCAGGGGCCTCTGAGACACAGGGCTCCCAACAAAAAAATTCAGAGGTTTTGTTTGACTTAAACATCTGAATACAAGCAATCAGCGTGGCAGTGGTACAAATGCAACACAAATTATGCTTGTCCATTCATGTACAGATTTAAATTCTTAAAAAAAACCCAAACAACTATATGTGTAATTATAATCTTTCAAAATATATTTTGTTTTTAAACCCAAGGTACCAATCAAACTGTACCATACCACAGTGAGTGGCACTACTTATACAGTAATCAACATTGTACTGTCATCACATGCAATTATCCTTTTCTTCTCTAGATCAGATTGATTTATTGAGACAATTGTCATGATGTTACACTCACCCTATGCCGTTCTTTCTCTGTTTGATGGAGCTTTAATGACTCCCTGTGCACACTGTAATTACTCGTCAACCCTGGAGATGTTTGTTTTAGTGTTAACCGACCACTGCTGTGACCATATCCTCCATGGGTCTATTATTTCTCATTACAATATTTATTACTTTTCCATCCATTTGGGTAATTTAGCAATATTAATAATGGTTTTCATGGGGCACATTTGTGTGTATGCACTATATGTGTGTGTATGCAATAATTCCAGATCACAAGTGCCTTGGATTTATTGGCATATACCAATTTGGCTTTAATG